ATCTAAGGTTATTTGATGAATCTGATGATTTGACGAACAAAAGTTGAAAGTGTAACCAAAATATCAGTCAGACTTTTAAAAATAAAACTTTGGACGTTTTTACTAGGCATAGTCGTAAATTCTTCACTTCTTTAAGCTAAATTTCATCATATCTAAACTATTATTAACTGTTTACTTGCCTCCTGGTTGATTTGCAATGAATAGTTAACAAACTGAATATTCTACACGACCGAAAATAGGTGAATTCAGTTTGAAACAAGCATGATATCTCATCAGAGTGGATGCATGAAGATGGTTTCTGATTTTCAAAATGTTGGTGAACGATAACCATTAAATTTTGCACATTGAATATTAAATGTTTAAATCAAAAATGTATACTGATTATGGTAGAAAGCAAAGATATTTGTATTGTGGGCGGGAATAAGTATTTTCGCACTAGTTGTTACATTCTTAGAACGAGTTTGTCTGAAGAGTAGGTTTCATAGGTTTTTTGAAACTCATTTTATACATGTTAGTAGATCTTACCTTTAATTTAGACAAATTCCTTTTCTGTCCGTCACTAACTCAGACAGTAAGCTCATCTGGAAATACTTTCTGTATCTCGCTGCTCTTCGATGAACAGTGGCATCAATTGATTGACAAATGGAATCATTAGTGACTCAGTTGGTACATACCTGAGTTGGTTTATTTGCTGTTTATAACCTTCAGTCTACCTGAAGGAGTTGAAGTGGTAGTGGCGAAATCTTATTATATATCTGAAGTGCAAATGTTATAATTTTCCCCATGATTAGACAATAATCAGCCACCAGTGTAAATACCCTTTGTAAGGGAGTTTATTGTTCACTCGATAGCCCAAAGTCTGGCTGGCTAACTCCTGTGATGCGGGTTGTTTTTCGACAGTATAAGTGCATTAATTCAGAGCTCTAAAATGATTTCTGTATAACAGCAAACATATGCATTCCTTTCATGTTTAAAAGTGTTGTAAATTTGGGTGCTATTTCAAGTCGTGACTTCCTGTTGCTTATATGTCTTTGTGCTTGAGAGTTTGAACTGGTATAACTTTAGTAATTAAACACTTCTGACATTCGAACGAGAATGGAAACATGAACACTTTCTTCTGAAAATGATCTTCAGAAAAAATATTCCGGGTACCTGACTAATCCACTTGTGCTCATGCGTGTGCTTTCCACTGAGAACTAAAATCAAAGCTTTTGAATATTCAACTGTGAAAGAATTTCCACAACTCTAACATAAATCATGGAGATAGGAAAGCTTTTTACCAAGCATTTACGTTATCTATCACTTGCTATTTATCCAATGACCTCTCACATATCTTTTTATTTACCTTCTGCCTTACGAATAGTTTTTAATTCTGATATAAAAACCATTGTCGAGTCGAAACCGTGAAAAATTCTTGTGAGTTCGATATTCATTAGATGCACGGAAAAAATAAAATGTAAGCAGGTGCGCATACCACAATAAGAACCGATTGCTGTTTAGATATTCTATTTATGCTTGTGTAAAAGTTACAGACTCAGTAAATGTAATCCAGGTTTAAGCATATAGTTTGCTCAGCCGCCCATGAGCGATGTATTATTACATGAATTAACATAAATACGGCTACAACTTGCACAAACCAGACGGTAACTACGACGGTAAGACTGACAAAATGTGGCTACATAATATTCTATTTAAATGTTTCTAAGGGACATTTCTATCACTATTTAGTTCTATAGAGTACAAAAGTATACGAGATTATTGATTGATAGGTTCAAGGTCTAGATGGTTACAGTAATTTGTTTCCTAAAGTTTGAACAATATGGTAGCAATATACGTGTAAAACTTGAGCACTGTGGTCCAGCGTAATTCCATTTTAGTCTGTTTATTAGAAGTATCACACAGTGAAACAGTAGCATTTACTGGATAACGTTCCGGACATAATTTATTGTCCATATTCATATCAGGTAACTCCACAACTTCGAGACAGTCTTTATATATTCCTAGTTTTCTCTCCTTCTCTGTGATGACAAGGGTAGTAGAATTCTCCATACATCTGGGACAGGTGCAGCATCATTTCGATTGCATGTGTTTGGTGTTGATTCGGTAAACAAAGATTCGGTTATCAATCTTTCCCTCCACCCAACTAAGTTAGTTCTCAACATTGTCACCCTATCCCACCCTACTATGTGGTTGTGTGTCATCGCATGCAGAGCTATAGCCGAGTTTTTTTCTAGATTTCTTATCTTATTAGGATCTACTGATCTGGATTTAGCTTAGTTTTTGTGCTCTATTATTCTAACCGACCCTGGTCGACTGCTTTGACCCATGTACTTGACCTCGCAATCATTGCAAGGAATCTGGTAAACCAGATTATTTTGCTGAATTGCATCGATAGGATTGTTTAACCTACAAAGCTTGTTTCTCAGTGAGTTTGTTTATTTGAATGCCACTTTAATCCCAGTCAGCCTTATTGAGAATTCTCCGTAGTGCTTCTGAGGTGTCTTCCTTGTATGGTAACATAGCAGAGACTTTGAATTCTCTCTTAACCCTGTCGCCATTATTATCACTAGTAGTGGGATTATTACTAATAACATCTGTATTACTGTTGTGATGCCCCAGTTTTGTATAAAACATTGTTATCTATCCGAACATTTTAACGTGTCATTCCCACATTATTTTTACGGTACGACTAATAGTCTATTTCTGCCCCCATTGTAATGTAATTTGCTGATTGGTTAACGTTTACTCTTCCTATGCGAATTTCTCCAATTGCGGACAAGGTCATTTTCATGTGTATACTTATTCACACTGGGGACATCACGCGTCAGGCCCTCGAGTGGAATCCCCATGGGAAGCGATGAGTTGGACGTCTGAGCGAGGGTGACATGGAGGAGATCGTGCGAGCTCATCATAACAACTAAAAAGTGTTCTTAATGGTATTCTACTCTCAAATCAAAATGTACATCATAAATGCTTAAATTTCACCTCAGTCTCAGTATCTTACTGAGAAGTGGAATTCAAATGCCTAGGATATATTCGTGGTTAAATTAACCATTGGCCATATCAGTTCTAGAAGATAATTTTTATTAATTGAGAACTCACTTTCAGTTAAGGAACGCAATCGGCTGAAATACTATTAAAGCCGATTATTTGTCTTCTTATTTCGATCGAGTGAAACGTAGAAGTTCAATCTTCATGACTGAGAATGGAATCGTACTGGAGAAACTTAGTGATAGGTGGGCTACACTACAAGCCAAATGAAGTTTGGAGATGTCATAACTTGATGTGCACAGCCTGCAATAAACTTCAGGTATTTCGAGGTGAAGAATGCAAACAACTATCGAGTCTCATGCTACAGTAAAACACAAATTCAATATCTCCTGAAATTCACAGGTTCGTGACTAGCAGCTACTTCGAAGCAAAAATTTTCGCTTATGTTACAGCTTTTTATTTTCCATCGTTTATTGATCTGAACGGAACTAATCAGCCTTTATTAAATTAAGAGCTCTTGTTTGGATGGCTCGATATTACTGACGTTTTGATATTATTGATGGATAGGGATTACCATATTAGTAATTATTTTTCCCTCGTGTTCCTAGTGGAACATACAGCTTCAGTTGTACACCTCCTTTCCACTCTCTCCTCTGCAGTCTTTAAAACCTGGCGCCACGACTCCCCACAACCTTTCATCTCTTCCTCACATGATGTCCTCTATGTCACTCTCGACTCGGACGCCCAACTCATCGTTTCCTATTTATATTCCACTCGACGGTCTGGTCTGGCTTGGTGCGTGATGTCCCCAATCGGCCTTCTCAGTGTATGCCCAATCCAATCCATCTCACTTTCTTCTACATATTTGTTGGGCGACAGCTTCTTGGGTAGTTCTTGTCTGCCAGCCAGAGGTTCTCGTTGCTTATTCTTTCTGGACATCCCATCGATCTTCAGTATCGAGTGAGCGTAGGCAACAGCTGTTGATGAATGTCTGAAGTTTTTTGGAAATGCCTTTCGTGAAGCGCCAAGTTTCTGAACCAAATAGCAGCAGTGATTTGACATTGGTGTTGAAAATCCTGATCTTGTTCACGCTTTATTCTGAGTGCAGTAGATCTACACACTGATTTCAGATAAATGAAAGCTTGTCTTGCTGTCTTTCCGACCCTGGTTTTGACATTTTCATCTGTGTTGCCTGTAGTTGAAATGATGCTGTCCTGTCTAGGTGGTAGGTGAAAGAGACCACTTCCTTTAGGTTTCTTCCGTTAATGCTGATTGGTGCTTGTTAGTGATGCTATTGTTGGTTGGATAGGGACTAGTAGTAGAGAAGTTTGTTGAGGTTTATCAGCTAAATTGACCTGTCTTTTAGTCAGTGACTTGACTACTGTCAATTTCAAGGTGTTTGGGTAGCGGTTTATATTCTAAAAATAGTCAATTATTTCGGCCATACCGATCGACTGCGAGAAGCAACTAGTTGTAGTTACACTAAAGGTGAACATTGTGAGTCAGCAGGTTAATGGATAATTCTGCTACGTTTGAAACGAGGGGTGTTGGTCTCAAATCTTAAGGAAACTCCATTGTCCTCTGTAGGGTACACGCATTCAGGTAAAAAAATTACAAATAAAACGCAACTTTCGTTTTGGATCACATCACTATAATCAAAACGTCAGTCATTTCAATTCACTCCTACAAGCCTTCCTAGTTGACTGTTAGTCAGCCAATTAAACTCTAAGTAATTGTTATTCATATAAATACGTATTCTTGAGTACTTTCGGTAAAAAATCATCAACGGGGAGATAATCATCATCATTATCAGTAACAATAGCGACAATAAGAAAAAAAACAAGGTCATGTAAAAAAAAGAGGAGTGAATGAGCATAAAACAAGAGAACAAGAACAGAAAAACAAAACCAAATGTGAAACTGTTTATGTAAATATTGTTTTCCGTTTTTCTCTCTTCTTCCATTTGATCCTATATTTGGGCGAAGACTATTCATTAATTCTTTGTTTTATTAACTCATTATGTGTTTATAATGATAATTCAGTGGTGTATTGTTTTGAGCATTGGTCTGATTTAAATCATTTTCATAATTAGTAGTATTATTAGTAGCTGAAGCATTACCATCATTTTTATTGTCAAACACATTGATTAATCCATTAGATTGTTCTGAATAAATTTCAAACAGAATGCGAAGAAGAATAAAGTATAAGTGTAGAAAAAAAGATTAGTCTATTGTTCAATGTTTAAAGTGAATTAAAAACAACTACTAACCCATATAGGTTTCATATCTGTTGTCATTCGCATCAGCTATGAAATTTATGTCACCTCCGAAGTAAAGCAAACTATCGCTTGTTGATGACAGTACAGGGATCAGTTATGAAGATAACCATGAACTGAAAATAAACTCCGTGAATGACTAGATCAAAACATCACAAACCTTGATAATAGGTGTATGATTCAAACCTTGGACTCACTGATTACTGGTTGACCATCTAGATTAATAAACCACAACTACCAATACAACAAATAAGATTCAATATAGCCAATTACAGCTTCAGGTTTTATCAATTGACCATAGAACTGGAATCATCATCACTTACACCATTACACTGGTCATTACACCACAATCCAATCAAATCATGATGAACAAATAACATACTATGAAAACAACGACGATCTTTAACAGACACCAATTTAAATTATACATTTCAAAAATATCAGTGAAATAACTATCAATGACTTGACTAGTTCTGTAAATATCCAGTATTTATTTATTATTATTTATCCCTTGGGTTCCTAATGGAACATACGGCTTCAGTAGCACGTCTCCAGTGAACTCTGTTCTCTGAAATCTTTTCAACCTGGCTCCACGACAGCCCACAAGCTCTCATTTCCTCCTCGCACGATCTCCTCCATGTCAACCTCGGACGCCCAACTCGTCGCTTCCCATCGGAGTTCCACTCGAGGGCCTGACGCGTGATGTCCCCAACCGGCATTCTCAGTGTATGTCCTATCTATCTCCGCTTCCTTCCAGTGCATATTTGTTCAGCGATAGCTTCTTGACTGGTTGGTTACCAGCCAGAGTTCCTTCTTGCTTATTCTTTCTGGACATCTGATCTTCAGTAACGAGCCAGAGTAGGCGGCAGTCATTGATGAATGTCTGTAGTTTATTGGAAATCCCTTTCGTAACGCGCCAAGTCTCTGAACCACACAGAAGCACTGACTTGACGTTGGTGTTGAAAATCCACATCTTGTTCACGCTTTATGATGAGTGCAGAAGATCTCCACACTGGTTTCAGGCTAATGAAGGCCTGTCTTGCTTTTCCGATCTTGGCTGGCTTTGACATCCTCGTCTGTGCCACCTGTAGTTGAAACAGTGCTGCCAAGATAGGTGAAGGAGGTTACTTCCTTTAAGTTTCTCCCATTGATGGTGATTGGAGTTTGTTGTAATTGGTGGTGTTGTTGGTGCGGTATCTTGATCACCTCTATCCTCTCTATATTCATTTGAAGTCCCGTCTTCGCTGCCCTACCTGTTCTGTCAACTTGTTAGTTTTCGCCTGTAGATCTTCAAGTTTGTGTGACATTAGACACAGGTCATCAGCGAATTCCAAATCTTCTGGGTTCTTTTCCGCTGTCCAGCCAGCGTATCCCCCTCTTCTCGCTCCTCACTGTTTGTTGCATGATCCAGTCCAATACAATCAGGAATATCATGGGTTAACTAGTTCACTAGTTACTAGCCGGTCCTAAGCCCGGGTAAAGAGGGAAGGTTGGGCATAGGGCTAGCAACCCTACCCGTAAAAACAATCAGACCGCTAAAAAAACTTCAAAGCACAAACGAAATATAAAAAATAAAAACAAAATATCAAGTATACTAAGCATGTATTCCGTCGATTTGATTTTCACCTTTTCTTAAACTCAAGTTTACTAAAACGAATACGCTTTTCATCCTGCCTAAAATTGTATTCATCATTCCGATCTTTAATTAAAGATTTACACTCAGAAATCCAAACTGTCTCTGTACCACTTGTTTATTTACATTATCCCAAGGGTGTGTATTATTACGTTAACAGAATATGTTCAAGCTAGATTGGATATTTCCAAAATAAATTTCTGTTGATGGTTTGCGGAAAACGATCAGTTTCGTAGTGATTCTTACCATAGTTTGAAGTAGGATCATTGGAGAGCTGTTTTGTACTGGATTAGAGCTTCCCAATCCACGACCATGATGAACACATTATACTCGACAAATGGGTTGGAACAAAACTTCATTTAAACTTTGTATTCTAATTACAATCACGCTTTCATTATTTTTTTAATTATTATTTGTCCCTTGGGTTCCTAGTGGTACATAAGGCTTCAGGAACATATTGTCACTTTACTCTCTTCGATGCAGTCTTTTCAACCTCGCTCCACCACTGCCAAAAAGCCTTTATTTCTTTCTGAAATGATCTCCATTTCACCCTCGCTCAGACACCCAACTTGTCACTTCCCACTTGAGTTCCACTAGAGTGCCTGGCCCAGCACGTGATGTCCCCAAAGTCTTCTTTCTCAGTGCATGCCCAATCCAATCCATCTCCATTTCCTTCTTCTGCATATTTGTTCAGCGATAGGTTGTTGGTTGATTCATTGACAGCCAGAGTTTCTTGTTGCTTATTCTTATTATTCTGGCCATCTGATCTTCAGTATTGAGTAAGCGTAGGTGGCAGCTATTGATGATGTATATCTTCAGTTTGTTGTAAATACTTCTCGTAACGGACCAAGTCTCCCAAACCATATAGCAGCAGTGACTTGACTGAAGTTAGTGTTGAAAATCCGCATCTTGTTCACACTTTATGCTGAGTGAAGTGGAGTGCAGTAGATCTCCACACTGATTTTAGGTTAATGAAGGCCTATCTTGCTGTATTTCCAATCCTGGCTTTGATGTCCTCATCTGTGCTCCCGCCTGTAGTTAATAGGATGCTGCCTAGGTAGGTAAGTGAAAGAAAAAAAACTTCCTTTAGATTTCCCCTGTTGATGGTGATTGGTGCTTGTTGTTGTTATTGGTTGGTTGGGTATCTTTATCATCCCTGTCTTCTCTACGTTCACCTGAAGTCCTGTCTTACTTCACTGTCTCGCCTCTTCTGCCAAATTGTTAGTTTTCGCCTGTAGATCTTCGAGTTTGTGTGACATTAGACAAAAGTCGTCATCGGCGAAATCCAAATCTTCTTCTGGGATCTTTTCATCGGTCCAGCCAACGTATGCCTATCTTCTCGCTCCTCACATTTGTCTGTTGCATGACCCAGTCGATCCAGTAGACCAGAATCAGGAAGATGATCGGTGATAGTATGCAACCTTGTCTTACTCCTGTTTCCACTTCACTTCAAAGGCATCATACAAAGATATTAATCTGGGCATGCGAATGAACACAGACTGGTAAATGTAGTCGTCGAAGAATGGAATACCACCGTGTGATTAGATATTTACTTAGGCTTAGTTGTAAGACTGGTCTGAATGCACTAGGAGATGATTGGAGCTGAAATAAAATTAGATCGTTGTTTTTAGACACACCACAGACAAGGATAACGTTTGCTTAGTTTTTTTTGAAAATATCAAATGGTTAGGTAGTTGTTATATTAGTTTTATGGCGGCAATGAGGAGTTAGTTTCCTTTGTGCATAAAGTATGGTCTTCAATTTAAATGCAACAACTTTATTCATGGGTAAAGATGTAACTAACTTATAACTACCTATCAAAGGAAGAGTAAACTACGCTGCAGTTCGCCCAGTTCTGTTGTATGGCTAGGGGACATGGCCATTAAAAGTAGAAGACATGGAGTAATTACTGGGTTTTGATCATAAGTGTCTTCGTAGCATTGCTTGCATTTGGTGAAACCACAGTGTGAGCAATGTTGAGGTCAGGCGAAAGGTAGTAGGCAAGACAGGGAATTTGATTGATAAGGTGTTGTCAACGTTATTCAACTGAGATGGAGTGAACATGTTTTGCGCATGCCAAGCTACTGCCTAACTTGATATCCCATGCTAGGGAAGTTGAATGAGGATGGAATAGGGTTCAGAGGGGCCAGACCAAGACCTGGCACCAATTGATGAAGTCCCTAACTGTTGGCTTGAGCCGTGTGGGGAGATTAAGAGTGCCTGATTTGAATGTTCGAGACGAGAGGAATCAGTAGTTGAGGACTCTTGGTGATATGGCTGAAAATCGGTCACAACGGCGCAGATGTATTCACTCCTTTACATATTCTAAAGCTTGAATATTTGCACTAAACTTCGTCTTCAGACTGTTTATTCACATTACTTTATCTACTTTTTCTGTCACTCCTTTTCTATTCACCAGTTCTTTTTGTACTATTGTGAAGTTTGGCAACTTGAGCCGATGCACTCTTGCGCATAGTTTTACTTTGATCTTGTCAGTCAGTCAGTTAGCCTACGGATTTGAATTGGTGCCACCTGACAGATTCGACAGCAATTCAACCAATAACTGAATAGAAGTGAACTGTGTTTAAATGATCTGAAGTCAAGAAGTAAATAATGAGGTTTACTTTCTCTTAAAGTGTAACGAAAAGTCAATGAACAAAGTAATGTTGTTTGTCAGCCTTTCATAAAAGTGGAAGTTTACACACACTTGAAAACTGAATTTATTCTTTAACCAGAAGTATCCATCTTTCTTTGTGCTTTAAACGAAAGTAGGAAAATATTGTTATGACAGACAAGTGGACAGACAATATAGACACAGGACCTAGTATTACTGAACGAAGGTTCAATTTGCCACACCTGATATCAGCACATCAAGAGAGAATGTCTCAGGATGAAACAAAGAAATAGCGAAGAAAGTAGTTGAGAGCAATAAAAAGTCGTTAAAAGAGTAGGGGGAGAAATGAGAGAATATTAAAACTCAGTAGGATGATTCAGATGAAGATAATGTAAGGATACACCAGCGCATAGGAGACTGATTCTGAGCAGTATCATATGAAGTAGCTAACCACTGACCCCAACGGTTCTTACCAATTAGTCAAAGTCTTCATGGACTGATTTCATGTTTTATTCTGACTATCTCTAACCTTTTTATAGCCTGAACCTACTTTAGCCACCATTGTGTGACGTTGTAAACTACGACTGGGTGATCGTAAAACATATATCAACCAAATGGATCGATGAAGATTGACAACCTCATCAACTTGATTTCTCCTTCTATCTAAAAATCTTCCCTTGACTTCAACAATACTGACCTGGTGACATCATGACAGGCGACTTATGGGACGAAGACAACGGTGGTCGGATACTCGAACCCTTTTCATTTTGTTAGGAATACTTACAGGCAAACTACGATGGGTACCTGGATACGTTGTGCTCTGTTAGCCTTCAATAAAACAGAAAATTGGAAACAAAATAAGGTGGAATTAAGGACAGCTCGAATAAAACTGAAAGTTTGTCAGCTGGTACAATGGTCGTTAAACATTCTATTGACTTTAACTCGAATCTATCCAAAAACTCTCCCAAGTTCGATCATCATCCATACTAATCAAGAAGATAATCTTTCTCTTGATTGCCATTTATTTGTGGCAGAATTCTAATTCTATCTGACACGAATTCCAATTGGTATTTGGTGGTGTAAAATACCCACCAATGAATGAACGGTATCTGCTTATATTACCTATACATTGGCTAAGCACAATACTAAATGATATAAAGAAGAGTGAAAACTGATTAGCAGTGTGGGTTCATAGCTCAACTAGCAGATCACTAGATCAGTGAAGTGAACTGGAGTAATCTGAATAATGACATTCAAAATATGGACACAACTTCAAACTATTTGAAGAGTAAAACCTTTTTTTTATCAAAAGTTAGGCGGTAATAACCACCACGTTCAATGAAAACCAACTGATATTCATCTGGGAAATAAAATAACTTTTAAAAAAGCAGCCTTACTGGTTGATTGATTTGTATGAGTGAAAGAGGCTAATGGATCAGGAAATGATTCATGCAAATTGATCAATGATGACTTTACATTGAGATCTGTTAGTGATGCTGAAATCTCTTCAGCTTCTAGTAGATTAGTCACATCTAATGAATTATTCTTTCGACTGAAATGTTGATGTACACCACCTAAAAAGCTTGGAATTAAAGTTGATTGTGTTGATTTCTTCGGTGTAACTATTTTACTGTCTACAAACATATGATTACTGTTCATGTTGTTATCACCTCTTTGATTCTTCTGTTTATTAAAATATTTCGGTTGTATACACTTAGTTCCATATGGATTCAAGTTGACATTCTGTTCAGCATTATTCCAGTTCATTGAATTCATAATTGAATTAATTGATAAATGTGGCCATAGAACAGTTTGACTATCACCATATCTTGATGATAGCCCATGATTACCACTAACAGTGTTATTAATGTTATTTCTTTTCCATGAAATAACAGGTATAAACCAATTTTGTATACGATTCAAAGCATTATTAGTTGTTGTCTTGAAGCTGGTTACTGATGTTGTTGTTGTTGTATTGTATCGATAATTTGATGATGATCTTAGCATTTGTGCATTTCTACGATTTGATCTTATCCATAAAGCAAGAAGTAGAGTTAAACCAAATAGAAGCAAGATAACTGAAATAATTGATGCAGTTGAATTATGCTCAGCTGACTAAAACCATACACAAACAAATGAATAAAACAAATTAAGTGATATGAAAAAAATATTCCTAATTGTTATAACATTCCAATGTTTATTTAGTGTAGACAAAGTGCTTCATTTATGATTTATCTTCAGTTAGGATAATTCAGTCAAGAAATGTCTATAGTTATTCAAAGTGGACTTGACTAAATGATTTATTTGATGATCAGTTAATGCTACACACCGTGGACAACAATGAAACCTCTTGAACATTGAAAAATGGTTTCATCCTAGTTTAAGACTTTGTTTATAGTTGACACTTACAACCTAAAATGCAATAAAGTCTACACATGTGAGATTTTATGGTAAGTATACCAACATGTAGTCATTAGATGATAAGATTTCAATGGTCTGTTCTATATTATCAAATCATCAACTAACACCATTGGAGTGCATTTTTTCCAATTAACTAACTTGAACAATCCCACAACTCATAGCTTTCTATTGATACTTCAGGAGATCAATATCAAAATCAACCACTAATAAGAACTCAGTAATTTTGCTTTCGGTTGGATATGTCCAAATCAATCAGGTTATTTACAAGCCTATTAGTTGAACAACATTTTTGGAGCTTCTTAATATAATGGTAAACTTCAGACATTAGTGTTGTGTAATTCCATTTTTGTTTTAATTAGATGTATTCTATAGTAAAATGACACTGTTTACTAGCTTACGTGACAATCAAAATTTATTAGCTATGCCAAGTTTACAATTCGATAATAAAATATCTATTTGATACTGGTTGGTTTGTAAGAGGTAAGAAGTGAGAAGTTAGGTTTAGACTAAGTTGTGTGTTTTTTTATCACTTTTGGTGCAACATGGCATATGATACTTATCGTGGTAGATAAAACTTCCCTCCTGAGGTGCTAAAGTTGAGATGGAACAAAAACTTTAGTCTAATCCCTTTTACTTTATAAAAGTAATGTACATCAAGTGTCAATACTATTATAACAAGATTACAAATTTTAAAATACAACCTACCTCATCATCAACTTCATGTGGACATGATTTCACCAGATCTAAAATAGTCTGATTCCACAGAGGAGGTTTCCAACCACCTATACAACGATCGCCTGGTATTAGACGATAACCTAAGTGATGAATAGTTTGGCGTTGTTCTTTGGATAAAGTGCACGGGTCTAACGGTGGAATATACGGATTTCTTACACAGTTCAAGGATCCAGGTTGACGATAAAAACCATATTCACTGAAAAGAAAGAAAGTACACGGTTAAATAGCTACAAACATAATAGAGAATATAGAAAAAACTCCTAAGGACGTTGACTTTTATAACAAACCTTCTTCAAGAACTTTTGTACCTAATTTTTATACAACGACTAACTGGTCAGGAGAAATCGTGAAATGCTAATCAATTGGTAAAGTTCCAAGTACTTAAGATTCATAATTATCTGACGCCTTACTAGAGTTAGAGGATAGTGAACTCGAGGAGACCAGGCAGAACTCAGACAGAGCTAAATGAGGGTGCATCGATCAGATTTCCACCCTCCGACAGGTTCTAGAACACAGGCATAACTACCGTCAACCGACACCAGCTGCCATATTTCCTGATCTGAAGATGGTATTTGATTCAGTCGACTGTGAGATGTTGTGGCAGTCTCTGACTGTAAAGAAAGTACCGACCGAGTATACAACGCCAATTGAACCTCTCTGCTTAAACTCACGCAACCGTGTCAGGGCTTATGGATAGTCGTCTTCAGAAGTGAAGACAACTAGTGGTATCCACCAAGGATGTTCACTGTCACCGTTCCTATCTAAATGCGTCATACACATACAAATGGACATAACATTATGTACGTCTGGCTTCATGGGGATCGACCTATTCCTCGGAGGTCCTTTGGTTGATTTGGAGTACACAGACGACATTGTTCTGGTGGTAAAGACGCTGCCACAGTGCAGATGATGCTCAATGAATGGTTTACAACTACTACCAGTTCAATTATAAAGAGTAAAGTGGTGTAGTGTGTAGTGTGCAGAGTCGCATCAGCTTGAACAGACAAAATCCCAGCTGGGAAACAAAGCCCATTTGGCATTTAGTAACAGAGAGCAAGATTGATCAACTGCTGATTACACCGCTTCATATATTTCTAGTTTGGCAGACTGGCTTTATATGTAGTGGCTGAGATTGTGGAAAAAGCAGCCGAGTCACGGTAGAATCTTAACCAGAAACTTTAGGATGACGAATGTGATATTGAAAATACTTAAGGAAGCATAATAAACTAAAGAAAAGGAATGTTTCTGTCTGTATTTTGGAAGCCATTTCATAAAATACACAGGTGACAGGTTATACAGACTCTAAGCAAGGTGATTCCTTTGCATTCACGTGATAAGAAACACGATATCAATATACCGAATTCATTCAACATAGTAAGTAGATAAACTGGTCCAACGTTTTCTGCCTTTCATTCATCTTTTCATCAAATTTGTCATGAGTATCGCTTACACAATACCTAACTGTCTTAAAACAATAGGCGTTAAACTTGTTTTGGACATTCTATTCACAAAAAAGTTGGAGAGTTGTAATTTAATTTTCTATCCGGCTTTAATATGTTTAACTGCTACTAGTTGAAGACATGAGTTCGGATGTTCGCAAGAGGATATCTATTCCCTCAAGGTTGTAGATGAGCCCTGGATATGTTATACTGGCGAGTAACTGACAGCAGGTGGGATGATAAGTTCCAGTGCATGTAGCAAACTAATGTTAGTCATAAATACAACAGTCAAAAAAGAATGCAGCGAATGTCTCTGATGAATATATATATATATATATATATATATATATATATATATATATATATATATATATATATAATTATAGATGGGAAACGACGAGTCGGGCGTCCGAGGGTGACATGGAGGAGATCATGTGTGGAAGAAATGAGAGCTTCTGGCAGTCGTGGAGCGAGGTTCAAAAGACTGTAGAGAATACAGTGGAATGGAGACGTGCTACTGTAGGCCTATGTTCCACTAGGAACCCAAGGGATAAATAATAAAATATCATATATATATATATATTATATATATATATACTAAAGTCAAGCAGTTCATTTTTATAAAAATATAAGTTACTATGGCGTTGAGTGTATGATAAGCTCATACATCAATCTCACTGTTAATTCAATCGAAGTACGAAAAGGTTCTCATCTAATATTTGTAACAACTTACACCAACAAATATACGTTTATATGTAGACATCTGCTAAAAGATCTATCATTTACAGCTTTGTATACATAAATATAGACTACTGATCAAATAAAGCTTAGTCTAAGGTAGATTATTAAAAACCTACATTTCAATAGTACTGGATTTATTGACTCACTACACTTGATTAATACCATTTACAAGTGTTTTCGTAGCATTTTCTAACCCGTAGTGGAATCAGCAGATGACTGAACTACAGGTTAGCTGTAGTGGAATATATAAATGAGGCGAGTTAATGAAACTGTATACTTTCGTCGAGTAAGATAGCTGCAAAAAACGCTACACTTGTACAGTCACTACTTCGCATGACATGCTAGAGTAGGGTTAAGTTGAAGAAAGAAAGAAAGCTAAGAGTATCAGAAACATAACATGGCCTCAACTCTCCAAGTTTCAAACTGTATGTTTGAATCGCGTCGCTAAAAAATGGATTACGTAACCTTTGAAACAGAGTGGCTCAGTTGTAACTTGTTTTATGTAAAGCCTAAAGGCCCTGGTTTGAACCTCTGACGAGGTCATGGGTGCACACTGCTGAGGAATCCCCCACTGCGAAGAAATAGCTATCCAGTGCTCCTAGGTTTTCAATAGTTCTTCAACTCATGTCAGTCCATAATGAATATCAACTTGAAATCAATAAATCTCAAGAAACATTCAAACTGAGTTATTGTTCTGTGCTGATTAATGACTTCTTTTGAGATCAGATTCCCTAAAATTCTGATGCGAAGTCGTGATCTGTGGGGCAAACCAAATCAAACATGAGGATAATTGCTCAACGATTGTATTGTATGAAGGTAGCGCATTGGAGTATTGGATTCACACTCGGTGACTCAGTGGTAACATGTTGGCCACAGAAACTGGGTGTCCCGAGTTCAACCCCTGGTGAGGTCATAGGTGGGTACTATTGAGGATCACCCCTGTAGAATGAGACATCTCTCCGGTGCTCTCAGCTTCTCTGAGGTTCTCCAACTGATTTCAGTTCATTATGAATACCCGCAAGACTTGTTGTTGTTTTCACAGTAGTAAAATATGTCATTCGATTATTTTTAACTGAGAATTTATTTTTTTTTTAACAGTTTTCCAAGTCTATTGAGTACTTTCTGGAGTTTTATGATCGATTTATTCATAAAATGATCCTAAAGTGTTCACATCTGCTAATCCTTTACATATCTGAATGTTATGTCTACAAAAATTACAACTACACTCTTGAAAGTAGTATGCCATTAGTACAATCTTGTCAATCGACGTATGATTAAATGAAACATTCCAAATTGAGACGCTTAATTATCAATACTCTTCGGTAAATTTACCGATGATGTGTTGTTGTATTATTATTTTTTCACTTGGTTTTCTAGGTTGAATATAACATTTCTACTTTCATAAAAGATGTTTTTTTTACTGAAAAAAGATACCTTACAAATTATTCAGGATCTTTGCGAAGTTAATTTATTTCAAATGGTAACAGTACATGCATTCAGTGATTAGTTCACGTTTTCTGAACTGGATATTTCAATAGTGGTTTTTTTTACATTACAATTTCACAGTGACTGATTCAAGTAGCCTATTCTAATGAAGCAACATGTGATTGGTAGTTCCATTTGATTCTTATGTAAATAAACGTTTTGTACTAGGCAATAAAGCAATCAAAGAAAAAATAAATACTATATAGCTCTTCGTCAGGACAGGGGCTACAGGACGAATCATCAAGAAATCCTTATAGTTCACTTCTTACTTAAATTAGCATTGATGATGTTGTCTAAGAAGGCTATGGAAGCTTCATGACTGAACCATCCATCATTTTATTGTTGCTATTTTCTTCCCTAACTTGTTTAAAACCACCACAATACTCATCAATCAAAGAATGAACTATATACAAACATTTAACCTAACAAACACATTACAAAACAGTCTAATTCATGTGAAGGTATCAATTAAAAATTGACAGTATGTTGGCTAGTAACAAATAGACAATAGATTTTCCTTGAGGTTCCTTTTCTGAATACATATTCGAATTAATCAGTATTTCCTCTGAAACTTGAATCTGACAAATATAGCTCCAAATATCATAGCTTTATTCACAAGGCTAGTTAGTAACAAGAGCTACTTTTAAAGGAACAATAAATAACTTCAAACACTGTCATTTTTTACACTTCATTCACGGAAACGAAACTATTCACCTTCTTTTAGCATAGTGGGCAGTTATTTGTGCTGAATAGATAGAACATACTATCTTATGGATTTCATCATACCTTTGACGTATGAAAGGTAATAAGAACACCATTTACATGAACAGGTAATACTTTATTTCGTCAATTCTCTTCAGCTGTATGCGTCTATAAAACACTAACAAGTTAGAAATGATGAACGAGGTAAAGTAGAACCTAACACACAAGTGCATCACTTCACGTTGTCACACTTCGTCAAAGTTGACAAAGATGGGTCGATAGAATTAGAGTTATATCAAAGTATACAAAGCAGTGTGAAAGAATAACCTATTTGAAGATCAAGGAGTGAATACGTTTGTGCTACTGCGACCGATTTTCAGGTATATAGCTCAGACTTCTCAATCAGCTGATTTCTTTCATCTTGTGTACTGCAGCTAGGTAGTCTACATCTCCCCACATAACTTACACGAACAGTCAGAAACTTTATTGATTGGTACCAGGTATTTCTCTGGCCACCCTGAACCCTCTTCCAATCTGATCCAACTTTCCCTAGCATGGAACGTTGAGGTAAGTGGTGGCTCGGTATGCACAATACATATCTAAACCATCTCAGTTGACTAAGGTTCATAACTTCATGAATCAACTTGCCTCTCTTACCTAGTACTCTTTGTCTGATCTCAAACAGTACCAGGGTAGTAGAAGGTTGGTAACTGTCTCTTTAGAAGTAAACATATTAATTCGGATTGGATCGACTTGTAAAGCGTAAACACTGTAGTAGATTATATTTGTTAAACTCATTAACTAATTATCTCTGGTTTAGAATTTCTCAAGCCGTTGCTTATTTCTGTTTGGCGTTGAATACCTGGCAAGCATATTTCATTATTGACTAATATTAGATCCTAAACGAAGATGTTCCGTAACTTTCTCTAAAATCTTAGCGGATACTTATCTATCATTTCTTCTAATATCCTTGCTTGTAAACGTAAGCATGGATCAACTTACGTAATTGGAAGTAACTATGTTTAGAAACGTTACTACATCAAGCTTGATACTTACAGTTGTATATAGTGACAACGTCTTAGCATCTGGGTATCACATTTTTGTTTTCGTTCGCACTACTAGTAACATCACCTTATTCGAAGGTTAGTCCTAGGAAGGCATGTCTTGTCACTTAGTAGTGTGATACTTTCTCTTGTTTCCACATTTGCGTTATGTTTTGTCTACATAGTTTCTTTTCAGAGAACAGTTTCGCTATCTTGTAGAACAGAAACTATTGATATTTTATTACTGGCCCCTTAAAGTTATTTTCAATTAGTATTTCGTCAGTTTGTATCATTAGGTTTTCATCTTTTCGAAAAATCACAGTTCCCAGAGGTAAGAAACTCTCGATTTCCATCCAAACTTTCTGTCGATTGAGTTACAAGATCCAGGTAATAAGTAGTTTTCACTTCAATATCACTCCGAATAATAAGTGGTTTGCTTCGTTATCATAATAATAATAATATATTTGCTTCAGTCTGAACCATAGTTTTGTTTACAGTACACAATTCTCACCATGTGATATTGTATAAGTTTTCACGTTGTGTAACATCTTCCAAATATATATTAACAATGGCGTAGTTTAACAACACATATTAAAGAATAACATAATTGCTGACTTCTATGTCATGACAACAGTTCGTTCTTGCAAATTTGATTGATAAAACTGTCTAGTATGATTTCCTTTGCACGATACACAGACTAAATAAAGTATGTTTGAATTTTCGTATGTAGCTGTGCATGCAGAGTTTAATGTAAGGTGAGAATGCAGAGGATACTTGTCACCAGATTAAACATTTTTGACCAAATATCTATAAAAGTTCAGATGCCTATCCATGACCCTATTTATCAGCATGCTTCATGGGATACCACTTGCTCTACCAACAGTCTTCAAATCCCTACGCAACATAACGTAGTCTTTTTCCCAGAGTCCAGGAAAGAATAAGTGAGGTAAAACACCGGAATTATTGAAAAATAAGAGTAGAAACTGAGTTATATCAGGCAGTCTGAGTTTCCTTATGTAAAGATCAAACGAAGGATTTTCCTAGAAGTCAGTAAGGTATGACGGGACCAAGAAAGATTAGAAGAAAATCATAACGCAAGATGGATCACGCTTGATTCATTCTCTCTCAAGAATCATGAGACTGAGGCAATTTATATGTCTTGCTCACGTCCTAAGCTAAAATTAACCGTCTGATGTTTGGAGGGATTTCGTATGAGACCACTTAAGGAAGACCAGTGACCAATTACGGTTAGAAAGTTAATAAATTGAGAAAAATCTGAAACGAAGATGATCGACATGGATGTCATTAGGTCATCTGCGTGCTTAACTAAATAAGCTTTAGATTAACGTTGGTAGGTCATGCAAAAGAGACAGAAAAAGAAATGAATAAGAACACCACCTTGAGGAACACCGGCTTCAATAAGTAACGATGTATAGAGCTTTATTCTGTGTAAAGTCTACTGTTTTCTCTTAAGAAAGTAAGAATCCAGCCATTTCGCAATCTAGGATTCAATGTGACTTCTGGTAAGTATTTTCAATAAAGAGGATCTATGGACAGAGCCAAAGATAGAATTATAATCAAAGAAGGCAAATCTAACATACTTATCACCATTGTCAAGACTGGAAATGATATAATAATATCAAACAACCACAGCATCTAAAGTACTCCCTTCTGGGTTTGTATGTTAATTGATTTAAATCTCTGAAAGCCTCAAAAGGAGGTTGAAACACACGAAGCAACAGTTTTTCCGTTGCTTTTAGGAATGGTGAAGTTATTGTGATCTGTTAGAATTTCACCTTTTTGAGTGGATATCATTTTCAAAAGTAGTGGTGTGTTTTAATTGATTGGGGTTTTTTTTAAAATCGAATTTCTTCAAAAACAAGATAGCATCAACACACTTGAGAGATACGTTTCAAACTAGGAATAAAGCAATAAAAGGGAGATAAAAGTGTTTATCTGTTCATTATAATTCATTTAATATTCTTCATACAAACAGTCTAATGGCTAACATATGTTATGAACTATTATGCACAAAATTTACGATAGCCTTGGCTGGTGAGATCATTTGTGGAGGCAGAGATAATGACGTAGTTCATACTACAATTTAGATCACAGCCGGTCAGAGACTGGAAGCATCCAAGTTAGCAGTCAGTCATGTGCTTTACTGACTTAGAAACGACAACTGATGTTGCTAACCTGGTTTCAGATTTCATTTAAACCACCAACTACATTATTTTTCTGTAATATGAATAAGATGCATACAACAGTTCATAGTTCATAATAGGTGGAGTGACTGATTGACCATTGGCTATCTACGATAACTTTAGTCATGTCACTCAATTCAGATAACGACAAAAAGTAACCAACTGGTGTCATGAAATGTAAATAGATATGTATCTCTCATTCAGACACCATACAAGCACTCCACTCAAGGACGTATACTTAAATACGAAATAAAATTTAGACATTTGAAGTAAGTCTATACGATTTCCCACTACAAAATATAGTTACAACGTCACGGAAACTTACACCCACTCATAAGCTAGTACGTGAACTTTTAAACCCTTCAATAATAATAGTTAATTACATTAGGTGAAATGAAACTGTCAATCAAAAACAATTATTATACTTGCTTGGGGCAGGATTCTGTCTAGTAGATACTCAATGTTTTAAAGGTCTGTCAGTACATGTAAGAAATAATCTAGATGAAGGAATAACTTCATACCATCTTACGATTATGCCTTTACTACACGCATGCTGAATACATTTGGAATGATGGACAGAAAAGTATAAAGTTTTTCTTATCCGAGGGCATATGGATATTATATTGGAAGGTATTAGGCAAGGAAGTCAAGTCAGTTGAAGTAGCTGTGAACCCTCACCGACTGAGATGGCTTGAATATGTGTTCCCCATATCGAGACTCCGCCAGCTCAAAACATGTGATATTGGTTTAAGTAGGACGGGCGAAAAGAGACCAAGTGTAAGACGAAGCAGTCTTTGACTGTTGGTTTGATCAATGTAAAAAATTGTAGATTACCTTGCTGAAGTTGTCAAGATGATAGGAATTAATGGTGTGAGACTGTTTGTGATATAGCTAGAAATCGGCCACACTGGTGAGTTTTTTTATTAAGCCATATTCTCCTAAATACCACTTTTTCTTTACACGCTGTTTTGAAGTATGGCAACTTGATGCATTTCTCTGTCAGGATCGATATAGATCTTTCTCTGTGTATGATATTGTAAAAACATTTGCAAGTCAAAAATGTATTGGAAGTAAACAGAAAAATAAACAACTGAAATTACCATTCATAATCAGCTTGGGTGCAGTGACAAAATTCCACCTGTACACGAGTTTCCATGCCGTATTCATTTGCACAACTGAAAAAAAAAATCGCCAACAGAAAAGTTGAAAATAAAAGTGAATAATTTAGGGAGTAATAGTCACTTTGGTGGAAACATAGAATACAACTGAATGATGACTGAAATTGACGAGAAACCCAAATATCAGCAGGATTCGAGGTGAAAGTGAGACTCTGATAGTAGCTGGGCATCATAGCTTAGTCAGTTTAGTATCGGATTATTTGTCTGAATCATGCTGCAGTTTGGTTTTCAGCTTCAACTCAAGACCGTTTACTAAAATATGATGTTGTCAAAAGTCTTATCGGAAATGTGGAATGGGTTGCACTAAACCAAGAGCTGGTTGGTTTGAAGATAATTGTCATTGTAGATTAATATCAGTTAGCAAAGACAATTCAACACTAAAGGCTAGTGAAAAGCTACTTCAGTGAGTTATTGTGACCCCACATACGATTAAACAAAGAATGTGTAAATTTAACGTTGACCAGAATTAAAGTCTTCATATGAGAATAGTAATCTGGGAGGTAATAGCTCTAATTTTATAATGACCCATACATACTGTGACACTTTTCAGACTTCTTATTGTATACTTGGTGGGAAGCTATTTATCTAGATTCCCCCCCTTTGGTATTCATCAGCAGGCTACACCTTAAAATTTGAAGTTTATGTCTTTCTACTAAATATTGACTCAGAACTTACTCACAGAACTAAGATATCGGTTGATGAGATTATATTAGGCATACAATTATGCTTGACCTCTACAGTCTTCAATTTTCAGGGCAAAATATACAGACAAACAGAAGAAGTAGCAATGCGATCACCAATATTCCCAGTCGTAGCAGATATATTTATATATAGTTAGGAAAACATGGCTTTACAAACTTTTAGTCCTACACCAAAAATATGGTGGTGATATGTGGATGACACATTCACTGTGTTGAAATCGGGACATGTCGACAATTTCCTCACACATATAAACTCAGTAGTAGGCGCAATCCAGTTGGCGTATCAGGTAGAAAATGAACAAGGAGAATTACCTATGTTGGATTGCAGAATAAAATGGAGAACAGACTGTGGCTTGGATATTACTGTTTACAGAAAACCAACACATTCCAACAGGTATCTAGACTTCAAATCATCCCATCCAATGCCAGTTAAGACAGGAGTAGTCAAATGTCTAAATGATAGAGTTACAAAACTGACTAGTCACAGCAAGAACCTAAACAAGGAATTGAAACACGTAAAAGAAGCGCTAATAGTTAACAATTATCCTCCGCAGTTTATTAAGAATTTCTTACGGACACAGAAAAAACGAAATAATAACAGTAGCACGAGTGACACTCATAACGACAACACGAGTAGAAGGGAGTTCACAGCCTCCATTGTATTACCCTATGACGAGGGTACCTCAAAAACTCTACGCAGAATCCTCAACAGCGCTGGAATTAGGATGGCATTCAGAAACCTACAAACTCACTCAGAGATAAACTTTGTCGGCTGATTTAAGGATCCGATAGAATCAATCAAGCAAAATAATCTATTCTATCAAACCCCATGTAATGACTGTGAGGTCAAGTAATTAGGTCAAACTAGTCAGTCGGGGTCACTTAGAATAGCCGAACATAGGAATTTATCTAAATATAGAATAACAAACCTAAATAAGATCAATGATCTAGAAAAAACTCGGCTATTGCTATGCATTGATTAACACACAACCACACAATAGGGTGGGATAAAACCACTGTACGTAAGTACAATATAATTAGATTGAGAGAGAGATTGATTACTGAATCAATCCCCACTCAATACATGTAATAGAAATGACGCAACACCTATACCAGAGATATGGAGGATTTTACTACCAATCAGGTGACGTAACTATAAAAATCAAATGTCGAATGTAGTGTGATAACATTGATATGATTATGAGCAATGATAATTTATGCTCGAAACGTCGTCAAGTAGATAATGCTAGATCACTGTGTGTTATAAATCAAATATTTCAATTCTAAAATGCAATTAAATTCTACCATAGTGCCCAAGTTTTACACCTATATTAATCTTTCTACTGACTCTAGAAACAACTAATTAACACAGTTAACATGATGTTGAGTTATTCAACTCAATAAATCTACTATCAGTGAAAAACTTGGGTACTGTGGTAGAATGTAGTTCCATATTAGATTTGTTTATTTGATATAAAGCGCACAGTGATACAGTATTATTTACTTGATTATGTTTCGAGCATAAATTATTGCACCTTCAAGTCATCTCATCCAGTGTCAGTTAAAGCGGGTTTAGTCAAATGTCTAAATAACAAAGCTGAGAAACTCACTAGTCATTGTAAGGACTTAAAAAAGGAATTGAAACACATAAAGAAGCGTTAATAATTAATAATTATCCCCATCATTTTATTAAGAAATTCACACGGACACATAAGAAGGAAAATAATAACACTAATACAAATACAAATAATAGTGACAACATAAGTAGAAAGGAAATCAACACCTCTATTGTGATACCATACAAGGAAGAAACATCAGAAACCATACGTAGGATTCTTAACAAGGCTGGAATTAGGGTGGTATTTAAACCAACAAACTCAATTAGAGGTAAGCTTTGTCGGCTAAAAGATCCGATAGAACCAATTAAGCAAAATAATACAATCTACCAAATTCCATGTAATGACTGTGAAGTCAAATACATAGGTCAAACTAGCCGGTCGGGGTCAGTTAGATTAACAGAATATAGGAATTTAGCTAAACATAGAACGACAGACCCCAATAAGATCAATAACCTAGAAAAACACTCGGCCATTGCATTACATTCATTAACACACAACCACACAATAGGGTGGGACAAAACCACTGTACTTAAGTCTAATATAGCTAGGTGGAGAGAGAGATTAATTACTGAATCTTCGTTCATCGAATTCACACCCAACACATGTAATAGGAATGACGCAACACCTATACCAGAGATATGGAAAACTTTACTACCAATCAAAAAAACAAAAACAAAGAGAGATCAGGTGACAGGACTATAAAATCAGATATCGAAAGAAGTGTGATTACATTGATATGATTATGAGCAATAATTTATGCTCGAAATGCAATCAAGTAAATGATACTGTATCGCTGTGCGCTTTATATCAAATAAACAAATCTAATATGGAATTACATTCTACCATAGTGCCCAAGTTTTACACCTATATTAATCTTTCTACTGACTCTAGAAACAACTAATTAACACAGTTAACATGATGTTGAGTTATTCAACTCAATAAATCTACTGTCCAAGCTTATTGTTTATTGACAGATTACGAAACTGGTATTAATGAGCGGTAAAAAAATTTTAAAATTGATGAAAGCTAATCAGTTGTATGGCTGAATTTAATTTAGAGAAAGACCAAAATGTTATCTAACAAATAAAATATCACATAATGATACTGAGTCAATTATTTCATGGAGATATCAAAACTTTGATCCATGGACACAACCGTCCGCTGAATTTTCAGTATAAAGCATAAGAAAGATTTAATATTGTCGCTTGTATTATCCCATCATTGAGTGGACAGAATTGATCGTCTGTATTGGCATATAGATTCCTGCGGAGATGCTTCGTCACTGTGTGTGTTCGAATTATATATTACTGATGGATAGTGGCTATCAGTGGGATCAAGGACGTGCGTTTCTTCCAATTTGGGACTCGTCAGCTGGATGTACTTGATTTCCAGTGAGAGATGTTGTCCGTACTGGGACTTGAACTTTGGACCGGTCACTTCAAACGCCAGAGCGTTACCCACTAGACCACAGAGTCACGATAGCCACTTCTTACGCGATAGACATAGTTTTAAGGTGGTCTAGTGGATAATGCTTTGGCTTTGAAGCGATCGGTCTTGAGATTGACTCCTAGTGATACAACATCACTCATTGAGAGACAGGTACATCCAGCTGATAAATCCCAAGTAGGACGAAACACGCCCTGCATTCCACTGCTAGCCACTGCTCATTGATAATATAGAAATATTTCTTTTATTCAATTTTTAGGCTTATTTCGGTCATTAATATACATGTAGAATGTTGTTCAGAGTATTTAAGCGCGTAAAGAGAATAATTAATCCAGACATACAATAATGCAAAAAATATAGACAGCCAGAAGGCTGGTGGACTAAAACTGGATAGGGAATAATGAATGGAAGTAGACTAAACAATTAGCATCAATTCAAAATCAGCTGAAAAGTAAATTACGCTCTTCACGATTGATATATTCTCCATCCTGATAAACGTAACAAAACACCTGTACAATAACATTCACATCCTGCTTTATCCACCGTCTAATCAATTGTTCGAAGATGAAAAAGGAAGCGGAATGATGGATACTTTGCAAAAAGTTAACTGTTACGAAAAATACTGTTCTATCTCAACGTTTAACGGTTATGATGCCACGCTCTTTCCAAACGGAATCTATCACTGACTTTGTCGCATTATCTATTCGGTTGATGTGATATTACGAAGATTCAAAATCCACTGAATACCGAATACATTCAAAGATTTCAGGTTTCTTTAGCACCCAGGATGCAGATAACTCATTTCCCAGTCATAAAAGTTTTCATACTGTTGTTGAGAATAGATTTTTGAAATCCCAATGCAGCAAAAGCAGACTAAGTTTCTGACGTTATCTGCCTTCTTGAGAGCTTTTCGGTCAGTGAATACATACATATATGGTACATCTTTGATTTCGGCAATATTTCGAGCAGAAATACTGCCTACAACAGCGCCAACCATTGGAGTTACTTAACTTGGAATTCCAACGATTGATGTGATCACGGGCCGCTTGAAACATAACCGAAATTGAGGAAATGATTATGTCTTTTGAAATGAGTGGGAATTTTATCTTTCAAATGCTATTCATCCCGTACTAATCTCATTTTGAGAACTACTAAAATCCTGAAAATACTGGGCAGCTGTTTAGCTCTAGTATGTGACTTAGCAGTAAACACATGCACCCCCGTCAAGGGT